GGGAGGAAGTCAGTAGTTGGGTCGGGAGCAGCCTGGGATATCCAGGGCAGCGGCCCGGCCTGTAGACAGTACTCCTACCTGGGTGGCACCCAACTCTCCATGGCCCCCTTAAGCGCAGGCTCTTACCCTCAGCTCTGAGGGCAACGCTCTCCTTTGTCTTGGCATCTTGGCTAATAAGCCTGAGGAGGGTCATGTACCTTCGTGGGGAACAAGGGGAGTTTTTCTCCTTTGGCAGCTTTTAGCCTTTTCTTTATGCCTGATGATCTGAAGTTTCATTTTGTGTGTGTGCCCGATCCTGCTTGGTTCTCATCTTTCTTTATGCTCCCTTCCTGTCTCCCCTTGCTCGGGAGGCTGGAACCCAGGTTCCATCTTGCCTGACTCAGCACCTGTACCTCGAAATTTTCTCTTGGTTCAGGGCACATCCTCAGCGCTCCGCCCACTCGTATTTGACTCTACAGCCTCCCCACTTGAGCTTATTTCAACAATCCTTTCACGGCCCTGTGTCTGCCACACCTTGCTTTCTCCCCCTGCCACTAGCATGCACAGGCTACTGTAGTAGCTCCTTTGCGCTGAGTGTGAATTCTGTTCATTTCTAGGGTGTGGGCTCCTGCCTCACTGGCTGCTGCACTTCCTGCTCTGGGCCCCCTGCCCCATTTTTCTGCTCTCCCGCGAGCTTCCTCTGTTGTGTTTGAGCTTGACTGCTTTCATCTTTTCTCTGGCTTTGGAGCAGGAGGGGCAGATGGCTTTGCAGTGAGGTCTGCTGGGTCCCTCTGGGCCCAGGCCGGGGAGGACAGGAAGGGCTTTAGGGCCACAGGCTCGCTGCTGTGGTTTGTTTCCCACAGAGTGGGATCCCTGGGGTGGGTGTGAGGCCACAGGGAGGGGAGGCCCAGGGCATCATGCCAGGCTGACCTTCCTGTGGCAGGCAGACCCCCTTCCTGACTGTGAAGGGGGAGGAGACAGGGCCAGAGCCCGGGGACACTGAGGCCACGGGAAAGGGCAGCCCGGCATCCAGCTGGAGGGGCCGTGCTGCCCCTGGGGATTTGGGAGGAAGGTGGAGAACATGGCGTGGCTCTGGTAGTCCCGTGGTGCGCTGTGCTCAGCGGTGCCCCCCCACCTCTCCCCAGGGAAACCTGTATGACTTCCTCCGCCTGACGGAGTGGCGTGGACCCCGTGTGCTCTACTTCGGAGACCATCTGTACAGTGATCTGGCGGTGAGGGGCGCAAGGCTGGGTGGGAGGGAGGGAGCCTGCTGGCTGATGCTGATCCCTGTCCTCCACCCCCCAGGACCTCATGCTACGGCACGGCTGGCGAACCGGTGCCATCATCCCCGAGCTAGAGCGTGAGATCCGCATCATCAACACGGAGCAGTACATGCACTCGCTGACGTGGCAGCAGGCGCTCACGGGGCTGCTGGAGCGCATGCAGGTGTGGGGGCGCGGGGCGGCCTGGGGGGAGGGCAGGGCTGCCGCCCAGGCACACACCCAGCACCCACCCTGTCTCCCCCAGACATACCAGGACGCCGAGTCGCAGCAGGTGCTGGCTGCCTGGATGAAGGAGCGGCAGGAGCTGAGGTGGGCAGGGTGGGGCAGGAAGGGCTCCCAGCCTCATTCCTGCTGTGCCTGCTCTAGTGCCCCATGTCTCTTCCTCAGGTGCATCACCAAGGCCCTGTTCAACGCTCAGTTTGGGAGCATCTTCCGCACCTTCCACAACCCCACGTACTTCTCACGACGCCTCGTGCGCTTCTCTGACCTCTACATGGCCTCCCTCAGCTGTCTACTCAACTACCGGGTAGACTTCACCTTCTACCCACGCCGCACACCCCTGCAGCATGAGGCACCGCTCTGGATGGACCAGCTCTGCACCGGCTGCATGAAGACACCCTTCCTTGGCGACATGGCCCACATCCGCTGAGGGCACCTTTATTGTCCAGAATAGGTCCTAACCCCTCCTGCCCCGCCTATGCTGGGCGTCGTTCCAGGGCGGGCAATAAAAGTGGTCTCCCTCCTGCTCGTGCCTCTGTTCGGTCCTAGATGCATCACTTGACCGTGAGGATCCGCTGGGTGTCCGGGAAGTCCTCCTCCAGGAGTGAGTCCTGGGTAGGGGGGAGGACCGCTTGTGGCTGGGCTGATAGCCAGGCCCTGGGGTCCCCTTCTGTCATCGCTCACCCCTCATACTCACATCGAAGGGCTCACAAAAGGCATCAGGGCTGCCGAAGACGGGGTTGGGAACAGAGACCAGGGTTGGGCTGGTTCCTTCCTGCCATTGGGAGAAGTCATCCTCAGCATCATCTTCCGCCTGGAAGAGAGGTATGTGGTGAGGGGCCTCGAGCAAGATCCGTGGACCCAGACACCCCCAACATCCCTCCCCCCTGCCCCCCAACACAGCTCTACCTGGAAGGTGGAGAAGCCAAAGCCCGTGGCCTGGCCTCGGGCACGGAGGTAGAAGGCCCCAGCCACTAGGCCAAGCAGTGATCCAGCAGCCACTACAGCCCCCACACCTGCCACCACGGGTGGACCCTCAGGCGCCACCGCTGCCTGCTGCAAACAAGGAGAGCGTCAAGGCCAGGACCGTCTCCTCACCCCTTGCTGTTCTGCCTGTCGTCCTCCCCACCCCTCACCAACTCACAGGTTGTAGGGGAGCCAGGAGGGGCCTGGCCAGAGCATGGATGATGCCGTTGAATGCCATGATGTCCCACACGACGACGTGGCTAACCACGACCGCCCCTGGGGCCTGTAGGGAGACCAGAGTCAGGCCTGGTGAGTGTGTGAGGGCCAGAGCCAGCAGGGGAAGTGCAGTAGCAAAACTCACCACAGGGGCCCAGGAACTGTTGTCAGGGCCCACAGCACTGAAGAAGAGGCTGAGGCCCGAGTGGGCGGGGAGCACAGTATCCTGGCTGGCATTGGTGCTCAGGAAGGTGGTGTTGGAGGCATGCAGCTCCAGGTCTGGGCCGCTCAGCGTCTGTAGGCAAAGCAAGGCCTGTTAGCCCAGGCCAGCTGGAGGCATCAGCATTGGGCCTGGCTCTGCCCACGACCCCCACTGGTTACCATGTTGTCCATGAAGCCTTCATTAACAGGGACAAAGAGTGTCTTATAGGTGAGCTCATCGTCCAGGAAGTCCAGGAAGTCCAGACCCCGAGGGGTGGCATTGGCATAGCCAAGCAGCATCTGGAAGAGGGAAAATAGGACTGTGGGTAGGCTCCCTCCCCAGGGACCCAGCTACCCACACCCTCAGCCCTGAGGCTGGGCCCCTGCACACCCCATAGAAGGTGGAGAAGTTGGCCGTGGCAGCCAGTACGTCGAGCAGCTTCCCATTGCAGACGCTTGTCCCATCACCCACAAAGCCTTGGCGGCACCGGCAGGCCACATCTGCGGGATAAGCAGTTGGGTGGGTCAGTGGGAAGGGGCCGAGCCAGGGCATGTGTTGGGGGGGTAGGGGAGGCTGTACCTTGCTCGCGGTAGCAGTAGGTGTCCCAGCGCTCTGAGTAGTTCTTCCGGAGGCCCAGGCTGATGACGCCCACCTGCCCACCACCACAGTCTGCCACAGGGAAGACGACCGGGTGGGCAGCCGAGCCGTTGGCCAGCCAGCCCACACGGCACAGGTGGAAGCCGAGCTGTAGGGGCAGACGGGGATGCTGAGACCAAAGGCCCAGCTCGAGGGGGCCCCCACGGGCTTGGCTCCAGATTCCTAAGCCCCACACACCTTCTGGGCAGCAGAGAGCTGGGGGAGAGAAGCAAGAACAGCTCCCTGGGCCCCACACGCTGCCTCGGCCTCTGAGAAGTTCAGGCCGTAAGGGCCGCTGGGGGCCTGGAGGTGGAAGACACCAGCCTGTTTCTCTGCAGAGGGAGGGAGGCGTGATCAGCCCAGCAGCACCGAGGTAAAGCAGGGGCACCGGGAGCGGGCAGGGAAGCACACCCTGGAAGTGGAGGTCAGTGCACACAGCATCCACGTGACAGGGTGGTGGCTGGCCCAGGCAGCGGTCCATGGGCGGCTCAGGCTCCTCCAGACACTGCAGTCCGTCACCCACGTAGCCAGCATGGCACACACAGCGCCTCATGTTCTGGGGCGGGAGAGTGGGCGGGTGCTCTTCAGGAACGGGAGGGAGGGGGGGCTGCTCTGTGGAGCCTCCCCACCCTGCCGCTCAACTCCCCGGCTGCTCACCGGGCCCGTGTTCAAGCAGTCGGCGTGCTCGCTGCAGCCCCCACGGTGGCCGTCCGCACAGGGGTCGCGGGCCCGGCAGCTCCAGCCGTCACCCTCGTAGGCGGGCAAGCAGGTGCAGGTGACCACTGTGCCTGCTTGGCTGCAGGTGGCGTGCTCGCTGCAGCCGCCATGCCCATCCCGGCACAGGTCCGCCACTGCGGGCAGGGAGAGAGTGGCAGGCCCCGGTGGCAGGGGGGGAGGGGGCCTCCCACCTCATACCTGCCCACCACTCACCTGTGCACGAGCGGCCATCCCCTTCATAGCCCAGGCCGCACTCACAGCTGTTGCCCGCGCGGCACACGGCCTCGGGCGCACAGGGCGGGGCACACACAGGCTGCAGCTCTGTCCCCCAGGCATCCCCCGCATATCCAGGTTAGGAGCTGCCCTCCTGGGTGCCCCTGGACCCCCTCCCACCCACCCTCAGTGGCTCCACCTGAGTGTGTGGTCGGGGCACATGCCACTACACGCGAGCATATAAAAGCACTCAGGTGGACACAAACACAGCACTCACTCAGCTGCACCTCACAGCTTGGCCCGGTCCAGCCCTCATCACAGAAGCAGGAGCCAGAGCCCCCAAGGCCCTCGTCACAGCGGCCATGGGAGGTGCAGCGGCAGGCTGGGGAGAGAGATCAGCAGGCTGATGGGGTTGGCGTGTGGGCCGTGGGGCTCAGAGGGCAGGGTCGGACAGGGTGGGGCAGGGAGCCCACCTTGGCACTGGGGCCCAAAGGCACCCGAGGCACAGAGTTCACACGCTGTCCCTGTAAACCTCGAATGGCACTGGCACTGCCCGCTGCCACTCATGCCGTCCATGCACACGCCGTGGCCACCACAGGGGCTGCTGGCGCCACCAGGGCAAGCTAGTGGAGAGGTGAGAGAAGTGAGGTGGGGCCAGGGCTCTCACTGGGACCCCCACCACAGGCAGCCCCAGCCCAGCCACACCATCCGTCCTGTACCCGGGGCGGTCGAGCCTCCTCCGGAAGCCACAATCCACCCAAGTCCCCTCACAGGTGAGAATCCCACAGATGCCCACCCAGCCTCTCAGAGCACTCTCTCCTGGCCAAATCCATTCACCACCCAGACCTGCCCCGGCCCCACCACCCCAACATGTTTTATCCGGAGCAGTGGCTGGAGCTGTGCCAGAAGAGCCAGCCAGCGACACTCACGACCTTGGGACACTCACCTCGGCACTCGCTGCCATAGTGACCAGGGCAGCAGCTGGGCTTCCAGGTGGTGGTGACACAGTTGCGGTGGCAGCCCCTGCCCAGGCCTTGGGGCTGACCCCAGAGGCTAGACCGGGCCCAAATGCTGCGCAGTGCCAAGGAGTGCAGTGGAGGGGACGTCCAGAACTTTGAGTAGTACCGCCAGCAGGTCTCAGGACTGCCCTGGGCCAAGAGGAGTCAAACAGCCCTGGAGTCCCTGGGCCCTGCCTGAACCCCCACCCAGCTTCCAGGCCCTTACCTGCTCCCGTGAGCCCTCAGGACAAGGCGGTTCTAGCCCGCAAATGCTACAGATCTTCTGTAAAGAACAGAGGCCAACACGGCAAGGTCAGATGGATGGATGAGACGGGTCCCTTGGCTAGGATCCCTTGCCCCTCCTCCTCTGACCTATGGCCTCCCTCACCAGCCGCAGAGGTCGAGTCTCAAAGCGGTCACAGCGGGCACCAAGGCCAGGTGGCTCCAGCAGCTGGTCGATGCCATAGGCCAGGCCACCCTCAAAGGGAAGGTGCCGCTGCATGATGCGGGCATCCTCCTCACCCACGGTGAGCTCACCCTGCGGGCGGAGGAGGGAGAGTACACGGGGTCACAGGTGCACTGTGGCCCCCCAATGCCAGAGCCCCTGCCTCCTGCTTCCCTCATCTGGGTCCTCTCCTCACACTCACCGGCCGGACACGGCTGCAGGAGAAGGAGATGGGGGTCCCATGCATGGTGCGGAGTGGGCCCAGGTTGGGCAGGTCAGATGCCAAGGCCTGAGCAGAAGGGGCTACGGTTGGAGCCAGGCAGGTAGGCTGGGTGGCAGGCAGTGGGGACCAAGGACTGGGGGTATACCCACCTCAATGTTGCGAATCACATGGCCCCGCAGAATGGCTGCCAGCTTGTCACGGTGGTCTTCATGGTACAGCCAGGCCTGGCGATCAGGTGGCAGGGCTTGCAGGGCAGAGTCTGTGGGCCACAGCATTGTGAGGGGCCTGTGGGCCGCATCCTGAAGCAGGGGCAGGAGGCCAGCCACCTGGCAAGGAGAAGCAGAGGTGTGACAGTCAGAGACCGGTGGGTGGAGGTAGGGGGCTGGACCACAGAGGCCAGGAAGGGGCTTCAGGGACCCAGGGGGCCTTCCCGCCAGCCACATTCTTGGCTGTAGCCAGATACACATGGACGTATGTGCAGGGATAAGCTTGCACACACCTGGACTACTTTCGGGTACGTGGACACACATAAGCATACCCTTGTGCTCACACTGGGAGGCTCACATACACAGACGGCCTGTACGCACACAAAGGACAGGCTTACACATGTAAGGGTGCAGACAGGTGAATATACACTTACACATTTGTCTCACACACACACACACACACAGAGGCACAAATGCACACACTGACAGGCCTACCCACGGGAGCAGTACCTTCACGAGGCCGCTGAAGATCTTGTAACCAAAGCTCTCAGCAGCGGCGGTGACGTTTCTCTGTGGAAAGGCACCTGTGAGCCTTGGGGTCAGGCAGG